CGTGCGTTGCCCTGGTTGTTGTGACTTTAGTGATAAAGCTTGTGCACCCTGGGGTGTGGCATGAATTTTGCCAAAAACCATTCACGGGTGCTCGAAATTTGGAGCTTGTGGGGATAACAAGAGCACAGGCATGGCATGCGCAGCAGCATTAACAGATGGGGGTTTTCTTTGCTCCCCGGTTCGTACGACTCGACCCAGCGTCGCTGAAGGCGCATGGCTCACAACACAGACGTGGGGCGACGATGGTTTTAATTAATGTAGCAACTTCGCGCTGCCGATCTCAAGCTGCGACATCCCCAGCTGCATGTTTGCGTAGGGCCGGATCCCACTGTATAGCGTCCAGTTGCATGAATGCGTAAACGGGGAATACTTATGTTCCTTTATGGTTTCGGTTTTGGACATGGTTTGCAAACAAGCGGTCTGATGGATGCACATTGGTATCTCAGCTTGTATCAGGATACGTGTCAAGATACTAATTTAGCTACCAGTGAAGCGATTCGGAATCGGACACGATCTGCCGCATCGACGACGACCCTTGAAAGGGAAGCCTGCAAAATGGCGCATGCAGCAGGTATGGAAGAGGCCTAACTTACTCAAGAGGTCTTGCCACATAAACCTGCCCAGTTACGCAGAAAGACATGTTGCTCCAGGGCTCCAGCTGCGATATGCTATTGAGCCCCAGCTTGAACAGATTTCGAGGCTCTGGATGCCAGATTTACAGTCTAGTGGCGTAATGCCGGCACAAGCACTATAATTTTCTACGGTGCTGAATTCGAAGACACATTGTGGTGAGCTTGTGTTTTTCTATACCATGGCTCCGTGCTGTGGGGAAGGGCAGGTTCGAACGTTCGCGCTACGTCGGGACCTGCAGCTGTAAAGAACCAGACAAAAGCGCTCGTCATCCGAAACCGAGCAGCTATTCTGAAGCCAAGCCCTAAGTCCTCAACAGCCTGATACCTTTAAGATCCTTTAAGCCCAAAGCTTTTGCCCGTAAACGAGGTTAGGGTTTAGGGTGTTGCGGCATCGGGTTCACACAGGGGAGGGGGGGTTACTTTCCATATGTCAACTCAGCCGACTGTAGAACCCAAACAACAGCATTATTCTTGTTCATTCCCTGAAGTTATATTACAAGAAAATCAAAACATACTTCCAGGTTAAACCCCACACAACCCAGAATCCTAAGCCCTGAATCTTCAAACAACCCTCGGAGAACCAGCGAGATTTCGAGGTTAAAGAGCTTAAGATCAGGGATGTGGTTCAGGCATCTAGGTTAAGGGGCGAGGGTTGAAGATTTAGGGTTTCGGATTTATGATTTATGTAGGCTTTAGGAGTTGGCTCTGATGCCCCCACAGCAACGATTCTCTGATTCGGAGACCTGAAGGCTCCACATAGCCCAAGGTAGGTACTACTGGTCAGACTTTGAAGGGGCACCAATTACCTGATATCTGAAAGACCTACCTTTTTAAGGGAATATGTATAGAAACCATAAACCCTCCAAAAAGGGGTCCTTTCGGCAACAAACTTTGCATGTCAGACTTTAGGACCCCGAGCTGGGTATTAGTGAAGTCTTGGGATCTGAGTCTGACTCCATACTCCGAATCTTAGGACCCAAAGCCCCTGAATCCCACCAAGAAATCTTGAAAATCAGGTTAACCCGCAGCAGGTTGCCTGTAGCCATAACTATTACCTACCTTCACCGACCTAGCAAACCCTGAACCCCCCAAGCACCAAAGCCACGAAACGTTACAGGAATTCAAGCATGACGTCGGCAACCGGAAAACCCTGAAGTCGTTTTAGGGTTCAGGGTTTAGGGCTCAGGATTTAGTGTTCAGGGCCCTGAAACTGCCCTTAAATCCACTAACCCTACACCCCAAACCCCAAACCCCGAACTCTTGCAACCCTGGCAGAGACTCTTGGAGCAAATTCTACAGTAACATAGCAACCTTTATGCTCACCCCAAAACCCACACAAATCCAAAACCCCTAAAACCCTGAACCCTAAACCCCTCAATCCTAAACCCACACCCTAAAACCCTAAATCGTAAGCACTAAACCCTAAACCCACACCAAAAGCAAACCTGGGCATCTCACATTGGCGATGGAATTGGCTGTCGTATGGTTCATGGCGCCCAAGGGCCACCTCCGCCGGCTCTTCGGCAGAAAGTGGCGCATTTTATTGGTTTGGAGTGTTGTTTATTGGTTTGGGGTTTAGGGGTTAAGGGCCAGGAGTTTAGGGTTTCCGGGTTTGAGTTTAGGGTTTAGGGCTGTCTATGTATAGGTCTATCTGGGTTTCTACTTCAATGATTTTGACGTGTAATTATCTCTATATCCTGTAGTCTTTAGCGTCTTTGAACCTTACAGGCGTACGGCTCAGGGCTTTATGGGGTTTTAGGCTCTAGCGCTCAGGATGCTGTAGCGGTGATTGAAAGTTTCGGGCACAGGGTTCAGGGCCTAAGGTTCAGGGGATTGGGGTGCCCCGAACCCCCGAATCGAAACTGTTGCGGGCCGCCCTTTGTCAGAGCTCTTTTCGGAAAAGGATCCTCCCTTTTAGGGCTGTTATATTAGTCCCCTGACGAGGATCCTGCTATTTGAAGGGTCCGTGGAAGCTTCTCCGAGACCTGAATGGGCTTGGAATTGACGGGAAAGGGGTCGAACGTCTACATCGCTACATGCCGAAATCGATGTTACCTCCAGGCCCTGCCCTAAAACCTAAACCCTAAACCCTAAACCCTAGACCCTAGACCCTAGCCCCTAGACCCTAAACCCTAAACCCTAAACCTTAAGCTAGCCGAAAGCGCTGAACGCCTCGAAACCCTAAAGGCACGAACTCCCAAGAACCCCGGGAAGGCCCTGAAAACTTGACATCTTCAGTTCAGGGGACTTACTTTTAAGGGTTCCGTTAAGGGTTCTTTTAAGGGTTCCATGAGGGTTCCTTTAAGGGTTCCTTAAAGGGCTCCTTTAAGGGTCCCTTCAAGGGTTCCTTTAAGGGTTCCTTCAAGGGTTCCTCTAAGGGTTCCTTTATAAGGGTTCCTTTAAGGCTTCTTTTAAGGGTCCCTTCTAGGCTTCCTCTAAGGGTTCATTTATAAGGGTTCCTTTAAGGGTTCCTTTAAGGCTTCCTTTAAGGGTTCCTTTAGGGTTCCATAAGAGTTCTTTGATGGTTTAGGGTGTATATATAGGGGACTTAGCAAGTAGGGTTAGTACGCACGCTGACTAAGGGTATAAGTAGATGTACACAATAATTTCCTTACCCGTAACCCTACTTGCTAAGTCCCATGATCCTCTGGGATTCCTTTCTGCAGTGTACGAAGCCTCTGGAACAATCACATTACTTGTTGAGGCTGCTATGTTCAGACCCTGAGGATCAAAATAGCCCAAAAGCCCTACATAGTATGGTCTTCGGTTCGAAAAGCCTTGATATGTGAGTCCTTCGAGACTTAGGGGGAGAAGACCGGCCCTTTTAAACCCTAGACCCTAAGCCCCTAAACCCGCAAACCCTACACCCTAGACCCCTGAACCCTCAACCCCAAAAACCCTAAACCTCTAAACCCCTAAACTCTTAACCGGGCCTCCTCGACCGAGTTTCAGGCTAGGAGCGCGCCCGGGACTCGATCATGGATGTAGTCTTCCCTGGCTCTAGAGATCTCAGGGGCCTTCGGGCTTGGAGGTTTGGGGGTTTAGGGTTTTTGGTGCAACGAAAGGGCCTTCATAGTTAGAACAGGGTCTTGGGGTATATTATGTTGTAGTAATATCAGGATTGGTAATTATTTAGGCCCCTACTATGCATTTAGAGGGTTTAACGGTTTAGGGCTAAGGGGCTGTGAACTTAGGGTTTAGGCGTTTAGGGTTTAGGTGCAGGGGCCTGCAGGGATTTTTGGGGGTGTGGGTATACGTTCTTGGAGGCTCACATGATGTCTAGATTTTGGGCTTTCGCTCGTGGTGGCGTGGTGCTTGGCAGCGTTTCTGAAGGTCTGACGGGGTATATACTCCGCGGGACGAGATAATCACCAATAGTAGCCCCCCCTCTTACAGTCCCTCTTATAGCTACAGTTTTTTCCATGAAACTATGCAAAAGCACTCATAGTGTCCCCTTTGTAGTCCCTAATATAACTATGGTATACTAAACCCCCCTAAACCCGAAACCCTAAACCCTAAACCTTGAACTCTAAACTCTATACCCCTCCGCTCCAAAAAAATACAAACAACCTCAGAGGCTCAGGGCACCTTTGACTCAGCAACCCGAAGTGTGCAGTGCTGCTCCGGGGAGCTTGCTCTCAGCCGGTTTCGGTTTCAGGGGTTCGGGGGCTTAGGGGTTAAGGGTTTAGGGGTTTAGGGTTTAGAAGTTTAGGGCTAAGGGGTTTAGGATTGAGTTTAGGGCTTAGGGGTGTAGGGTGTAGGGTTTGAAGTTCAGATTCGGGGTTGTGGAACCCTTAAACCACCCCTTCTCAGCGGATCGCAAGGGACCTGGAGACTAAAATGGTTTAAGGTTCAGAGGCGTTTCGGGTTTAGGGGCTTTATGATTTAGGGTTCAGGGGGTGGGGGCATTTATGATACAGGGGCGTTTAAGGTTTACGGCATATCCCAAGCAAGCTCTTTTGGTTGCGCTCCTCACCACAAACATGCATCCAAAGGGCACGACGCCTCATGGCGGCAACATCAGCAGCCTCCCTCACACACATATCGTGCGCCAGGAGGGCACAGGACAGAGCCGGTGCAAGTGCATGGAGGAGCGAATGCGACCGCTGCAAGCTTCGAAGCGGCATGCCAACTAAAAAAGTGCCCGATACACATCACAGTCTCAGCTGAACAATCCCACACTAGCCGCACAAGTAACTAGATTGCTTCAAAACACACTCACTTGCCAGTATATCAGGACTACATACCAATTTCACAACCTTTCATGCCTTTTGAGTCGAATCCGTGGAATTGTACCGTCGAACTGCAACGAAACTCACCGCACTCCATCAAGTGACAACATGCTCTCAATGCTTGCGACAGGCAGGCTCAGTGCTGCCGCCGGTCGAGTTTCGCTTGCAGCTTGGCAACCAACTCGGGCTTCTGCAGCTCCTGAGACGCCCAGAATGCCATCCTCAGCAACTTAGGATTCATGTTCTCTCAACCTTGTCCGGTATGCGCCTGGCAAGTGCTGGCACGGCATCCAGCACCTCTGGCGATGCATCTTGGAGATTCGCAGCTGCCCACAGGCAGTTGGACAAGTGCTGAGGAATCATCTCCTCAACCAGGTCCGGTATGCGCTTTGCAAGTGCTGGCACGGCATCCAGCACCTCTGGCGATGCATCTTGGAGGTTGGCAGCTGCCCACAAGTTGTTGGAAAGATCCTGAGGATTCATCTCCTCAACCTTGTCCGGTATGCGCTTTGCAAGTGCTGGCACGGCATCCAGCACCTCTGGCGATGCATCTTGGAGGTTGGCAGCTGCCCACAAGTTGTTGGAAAGATCCTGAGGATTCATCTCCTCAACCTTGTCCGGTATGCGCTTTGCAAGTGCTGGCACGGCATCGAGCACCTCTGGCGATGCATCTTGCAGCTTCGCAGCTGCCCACAGGCAGTTGGACAGAGCCTGAGGAATCATCTCCTCAACCTTGTCCGGTATGCGCTTTGCAAGTGCTGGCACGGCATCCAGCACCTCTGGCGATGCATCTTGGAGATTCGCAGCTGCCCACAGGCAGTTGGACAACTCTTGAGGTTTCATCTCCTCAACCTTGTCCGGTATGCGCCTGGCAAGTGCTGGCACGGCATCCAGCACCTCTGGCGATGCATCTTGGAGATTCGCAGCTGCCCACAGGCAGTTGGACAAGTGCTGAGGAATCATCTCCTCAACCAGGTCCGGTATGCGCTTTGCAAGTGCTGGCACGGCATCCAGCACCTCTGGCGATGCATCTTGGAGGTTGGCAGCTGCCCACAAGTTGTTGGAAAGATCCTGAGGATTCATCTCCTCAACCTTGTCCGGTATGCGCTTTGCAAGTGCTGGCACGGCATCGAGCACCTCTGGCGATGCATCTTGCAGCTTCGCAGCTGCCCACAGGCAGTTGGACAGAGCCTGAGGAATCATCTCCTCAACCTTGTCCGGTATGCGCTTTGCAAGTGCTGGCACGGCATCCAGCACCTCTGGCGATGCATCTTGGAGGTTGGCAGCTGCCCACAGGCAGTTGGACAGAGCCTGAGGAATCATCTCCTCAACCTTGTCCGGTATGCGCTTTGCAAGTGCTGGCACGGCATCCAGCACCTCTGGCGATGCATCTTGGAGACTCACCGCTGCCAGCATGCAATTTGAGATCTGTTGAGCATTCATGCCACCAGTTTTCGCCCTCACGGCTTTGCAAAGCTTTGGCAACACCTGCATCATGTGCATGTCTACCTCGTCATAGAGCTTGCCCACTGAATAGAAAACGTTGGCCGCCACACGCGGTGGCAGCAGATCGTCCTGGAGCATCTTATGCAACCGGACAGACAGCTTGGCCCACACAGGGCTTCTCGCATCCGCCTTACGAAACTGGCGCCTCTTCTTGAATCGAGCAAGGGTTGTCCAGGCGGCAGACATGTGGAAGCCGTTGAAGAGCTTCGCGTTCTCCACCGGCTTGTCCAAAAGCGAAAGCAGCTCTGAAGCCGAGCCAGCCTTTGTGATTTGAGACGTCAGCCGTCTGGCCTCGCCATCTGCGCTCCCATCCGGAGCTTGTCGCCTTCGCTCGCGGACTCTACGAGGAAGCCGCCCCGGGAGGCTTCGGCCGCCATACGTCACAGTCGCTCCCCACGACGGTAGCGCCACTGTGCCACAGAAGTTGGGCTCCTTTCCATTGCAGAGCCAGCATCCTGCCAGGAGTGTGGCCACAATCCACCGGCAAGCCTGTCTCTTCCTCATGATGGACTTCCTGGGTTTCCTGTCCACACCAGCAGGAGCAATCATGAAGCCGCCGGAGCGCACAGGCAATTTTTCACAGAGGCTCTACAAAGCAACCGAGCCCTGAAGAGCAGCCTCTGCGTCGTACACCACAAAGTTGGCATGCAACGTCGTCTTAGTACAGTCGTACACCAGAAACCCTGAACCTGAAACCCAAACCCTAAACCCTAAACCAGAAACCCTGAACCTGAAATGACCCTCCGCGACTTCGTCTCTGAAGCCTTGGACCACATTCTGTGACACCCCAAGCCATCAACTCTTCGACCAAACTTCACACCAGGAAACCTTCAAAGATGCAGCTGAGCCGTCATGGAGCGTTCTGCACAGGAACCTAAAAAAACGTAAATCCCAGGCCCGTCCTTTTCCGGCGATCCCCGCGCGATGGACCGTGTCGAGGTACTCATCGTAGCCCCTGGCAGATAGCAACTCTAGAGCTTAGGGTTTTGCGGCTTCGGGGGCTTCAACCTTAGGATTTTAAGGCTTCGGGAGCTTCTTGCTTAGGTTTATGGCGTGATTAAGGCTTGCGCGTTGACCTCGAGATTTACAGCCTTAGATCCTACAACGGTGTATATTTATTACACACACTCTAGTGTATATACATGTATGTGCAATACTTATGGAAGCATACACACACATTTGTTTATCCGGCTCCTTAATACAACATTGGCTTGCGATGATGTCTATAATACGCGTAGCAATACTAGCAGTACTTAATAGCAATAGGAATTCTGTAATACTATGTAGTACTTCTGCATAGTCTCAATCAGAAGAGGATGATGAGTTTTGGCTTTGGAAGACTCCGAGCTCGTGCTCGCTCGACGGCTGCCCAGAGACTCCAATATCCCTTAATTAAGGAATATACCTTAAATTTTAATAGGATCCCTAATATGATTTAAGGAATATTCCTTAAATTATAATAGGACCCCTAATATGAGTTAAGGAATATTCCTTAATTAAGGGATATAGGAGTCTCTGGGTAGAAGCTGAGCCTTGCGACTGGTGATCCCTGTCTCTGCAGCTCGTCTGGGCGGCCGGCTTGCTTCTCCTGCTCCCCAGGTAGCCCAATACCGCCCTTAATTAAGGAATATGGCTTAAATTATATAGGGCTTCATATTATGATTTAAGCTATATTCCTTAATTAAGGGGTAGTGGGCTCTCTGGGTCTTCCTCGGCTCGCAACTGGGCCAGGTCTTGGCTGTTGTCACTGCCTCGTCGTCGCTTGGGACTGGAGCCAAGGGCAGAGTGCAGCTGGACTTGGGCAGCTCTGCGGGTGGACATGCTTCGCTTCTTCGTAGAGGTCGGAGGTTGGAGTAGCATTGCTGGCCTGTCCTGAGGAGGAGGGCTTCCTGTTGCTCTATCGTCTACGCGATTCTCATGGATGGCGGCATAGAGCACGTTCCGGTCAGCATCGCGCATGACAACTCCACCACGGTTGCGTGCACCAAAGTAAATGCATCGTAGTCGGCCCGCCGCTCCTGTGCCCAAAATTCTCGGGACCTTCTGTTTCGTCTGACTTAAACCCAACCCACTACAGCCGGAACACCAAAACCCTGAAACCCTCAAGCAGCAAATCCAAGACGGGCATAACGCTCAGCCCTTGGACAGCCCTTCTGATGTACTATGGAAAACCCTAGGACTTAAAAACGATAGAGGCCCTAAAGCCTACAACCCGTATCGCAATCGTTGTCTGTGTTCCTCCACCCACAAACTCAAACCCTAAACTCTAAAAATCCTCGAAACCGAAGGACCAAGAAATCCTAAACCCCCAAAAAAACAAAAAAAAACATAAACGCCGTAAACTCCCCCAACACCCAGAACATCCTACACCCTGAGCACTAAAAACACTGTTCTAAAATTGGCCAAAAACCTTGAAAACCCCTAAAATCACTCCTGAACACACACTCATCAAAAAAAAACACACTACTGTTGGAAGAAACATCCTTTTACTTGGCTCCCAAGCTCAGCATCCCGGTCCGGATCCGTCCAAGACGGAGAGCCTGGAACCGCACAGGGATGCCGTTTGGGTTTAGGGCTTAAGGGTTTAGGGTTTGGGGGTTTATAGGGTTTAGGGTTTAGCGGTTTAGGGCTGAGGGTTTAGAGCATTTGGGCTTGCAGTGATTTTTTCCGGGATTTACTGGCTTGCTGAGGCCGCTGGTTTATGGTTTAGGCCTTTGCTTCTTAGGGGTTAGTTTCTCAGGGCTTCGTGGCTCCACCATGAAGGCTCCGAAGCTCCTCACGGGCTTTGTAAGAACGTGATACACTAGTTTTCGCAGGGTGGAAAGGGTTTCTTGGGATTTTAGTCTCTTCCAGTGTTCTTTGCATAGGGATCCTGCTATGTAGAGTCTGACGTGGCATCCGGGTTGAGTGATATAGGGGCCTTAATAGTAATACTAGGGGTTCCGGGGTATCTACGACACTTGCGACGGTGAACTGTAGGGCGTAGTATTGGTAATTGTTCAAGCCCCTTTTTGTTCCCGAGCCCAACAAAGGTCCACCTAACGATGGTATAGTTATGTTAGACCACCGTGTCTGGTGCCTAAAAGAGGGCTTAGGGGCAATTCCTGACCTTCTAAACCCCAAAGCCCTGAAGCCCTCCGGCTCGAGTCACGCCACACTACGGCCTAAGCCCATGGAGGCACCTCAAAAACCCTGTGGCTCTCACTCACCCCATCCGCTGGCAAACTCATGAGGCATCAGAGAGCACCGTTTTGCTGCAGCCAACTTTGGGGCAGGTCAGAGGCTACGCCCAAATCAAAAGGTACAAGAAGCCGGGGGCAAAACATGTATCTCTGTGAATTCTGTTCACTAGGAAGCTGCATGGAGAAGCCTGTGCGTTCCTCGCCGGGTTGAGGGTTCAGAAACAGCTTGCAGTGTTCTGATCATGACCATGATTCACGTTATGCCATGATCTGTGAGACTGGTCATGACTATGCTCATGAGCAGGGCGATGATGCAGCTTAAACCCCAAACCCTCAACCCCTAATCCCCTAAACCCTAAAACTCTAAACCCCTAAACCCTAAGCCCTAAATCCTTAAACCCTAAACCTTCAAATCTGGTCTATTGCCCAACGTCAGCTCTTGCTGCTGCCGGGATGAAGTAATGCCTCAGCGGAGCAAAGACCCCAGAGCTCTACTTAGAGGATCATGGGACTTAGTAAGTATGGTTATAAGTACCTTAATAGGGGTTCTAAGTAGATATAACTATAGTTACCTTACTTATAACCCTAGTTACTAAGTCCCATGATCCTCCAAGTAGAGTCAGGTTTTAGGGCTTTCAGGTTTAGGGTTTAAGCTTTAGGTTTAGGGCATTTAGGGCTTAGGGTTCCAGGGTTAAGGGCTTTAGGGTTTTGGGTTTGGGGTTTAGGGTTTGGGGTTCAGGTTTTAGGGCTTAACCCTATAAAGCCTAAACCCCAAACCCTGAGGCTAGGGTTTGGGGCTTGTTCGGCCTTTGGCTTTGCCTTAGCTTCTCAGAGCTTTTGACTTCTAGGGTTCGGTTTGCTTTTTGAGGGGAGTGCCGAAGTGCGCCATCCTTCGGCTGTATCATAGGTATCTGCAACAAAACATGAAAAAGTGTCTCATCATGAGGGGGAGAGAGAGAGAGGAGAGAGAGAGAGAGAGAGAGAGTTAGAGAGAGAGAGACTTCTCAGTTGTCTCTGTAGCGCATTTCTCAAACCCTGCTGATTAACAAATCCGCGACTATTCCCAAGCGCATCCTGCTTGGATCTCACAGTTTCTGCTTGGGCACGACCCCCCTAAACACTGAACCCTGAAAGAAGCCTTGTAGAAGTCCTCTCTCTTCTTCAACAGCCGGGCCCCAAATAGTTCAGACTTTCTAAGGTAGAGCTAATATATAAGGCCAAAAAGTTGAAAGTTCCCCCGTTCACTATCTAAATGATCTGGCAGGAGGCTGCTGACACCCTCGTGTCAGACAGCGGACTGGAGCATCGTGGAACGCGGGTCCTGGCTTCGGTTTAGGACTCAAGGTTTAGGAGCTTTGAACATAGAATTTCAGGTTGTAGGGGTTACGGTTTGGGGATTTATGTGAAGGCCTTGGGATTAGGGCTATCCGAAATGGCTCTGTGGCTCGTGCACGGCACGCGAGCTGCACTTCAGGACACTCGGGTTTTGGGCTGAGGATTTAGGGCTTTCGGGTTGGCTTTTGGGTTTGTGGGATAGGCTGAATAGGGTTTAGGGTTTAGGGTTTAGGGTTTAGGTTTTAGGGTTTATGAAGGTTAAACGGTTTTAGGGAGGCATCATGGCCTGTGCACACTTGCCAATCCCAGAGCTCGTCAGTTGAGCTTGAAGCTTTTGGGTTTAGGGTTGACAGTGGATTGAGTTTCGGATTAGGTGGATCTCGGGTTTCAGGGTGTGTGGCTTCGGGATGCACTGCCAAGCCAAGGGGTTGTCCGTGACTGGGGGCGGGGGGGGGCCCTAAACCCTAAACCCCTAAACCCTAAACCCTAAACCCTAAACAAGAAAAGCCTGAAGTCTCTCCATCAGTTCAGGCGACGTCAACCACCTACAATCTCTGAAGTCCGAAACCCAGAGACGAAGGAATATCCCTTAAATCATCTAAGGAAGTTAATATGATTTGAGGTATATTACTTAACTAAGGTGCTTTGGGGTCTCTGGGAAGCCCTGAAATCCAGGCCAAGGTCTTTGGCTCTACTTAGAGGATCATGGGACTTAGCAGGCAGGGATACTTATATGTAGATATAACTATAGCTATATGACTTATAACCCCCACTTACGAAGTCCCATGATCCTCCAAGTAGACCCCGAACCCTAAACGCCGTAGATCCCTCTAAGGAACCTAAAGATCCCTTTAAGCCTCCCTTGAAGGAACCCTACTTCCTAAGTCCCATGATCCTCTAAGTAGACCCCAAACCCTCAACCCTGTGGATCCCTTTAAAGGAAGGAACCCTACAGATCCCTCTAAGGAGCCCTGCAAGGAACCCCTGTAGATCTTCAAAGCTCTGTGGAAGCTCCACCTCGCTTTCGCAGCTGCTGGTGGATCGGCAGTACCTAGGGTGTAAGCTTTGGGGCTTTTGGGTTTATGGTTTATTGGTTTAGGCGTTTAGGCTTTAAGCTGCTTGAGCTCAGGGTTTAGGGTTTAAGAAGGGTCTAAGGTTTAGGGAATACTGTTCTAGCACGTCCTACAGATGCCAGAACACTGGGAAAGATCGAAACGATCTAAGCGATCTTGGGCCTCTGGCAGCTTTCGAGACACCCTAAACCCCAAACCCATAAAATTAAAACCAAAACCCCTGAACCCTAAAACCCAAACTCCTAAACCCTAAACCCGTAAACGTTAAACCCCTAAACCCTAAACCCTAAACCCCCAGACCTATGAAGATTTGAAGAATTAACAACAACGGCCATTATATGCCTTTTATACTTCTACCTCGCATACCCCTACAGCCTATTTTCAAGAAACCAACCAAGGCAATCCACCGGGCATAGAGGATGAGCTGCGCCACACCTTGCAAGCTTCTTTGCCGAAACCATGTTGTGTGCCGGCTCTAGGGCTTCAAAGATTTAGAGCTTAGGGTTAAGGGTGGCAGTTCGGTGCAAACTAGTACAGATGCTGGATAATCCAAAGGCTCGGAAACAGCAATGCATAAGAAACATAAAGCCTGTGCATGAGGGACTCCTTGATAAGGATGCCAGGAAAAAGGATCCATTTCCAGGGCTGAACAGGGGAGGCAGGTTTTGGGGGTTTGGGGTCAGATTTGTTTTTGAACGCCTTTTTCCTTCTGCGGGTCAGGGTTTAGGGTTTAGGGTTCCTTAAACTCGACAGCTGTCCATTGCATCAAAAGTTTGGGTTGGGCGTCGATAGCAACTCTTGCTGAAGGTATCCGACTATAATGCTCGTGCCTGCACGCGAACCCCTGTCTATTCCTCACGCCAGCTGAAAACCCATGCCTTCGGAGGGAAACCAAAACCATCAACCTCAAAAACACAAAACTCTAGGCCCGAGACCCCCAACCCGAAAGATGCAAACTCAAAACCTGTAATCCCAAACCTTTCGGTTCAGAGGTCAAAAGAGCAATCAGTCTTCAAGACCCAAGCAAAATTTTACAATCCAAGAACACAGGAGTGAAGATTTCACAACCTTCAGAAGGCTGGATAAGCAGGGCTTTGGGGTGTTGGGGGGGCCGGGGAAAACCAACAAACCTTGAGTGAGCAAGAAAGCTTGAAACACATCATTAACACGGACCCTTGTCCATCCGCAGACCGACTTGCACTTCGGGTTGGAATACCCGCCCCAAACCCTACAACTCTCATCCTATACGTGCACCCAAACAAAAAATATCAACCCTAAACCGGGAAGCCCCCAAAGCCTGAATCGCAAAACACAAAACAACCCTGAAACCCTGCAGCCCCAAACCTAACCCCGAAAGACCTGATCCCCGAAACCTTCAACCCCTACAGCCCTGAAACCGGAACAATCTGATCCGTAAACCCTCAAAGCCTAAACCCTCACCGTAAACCTTAGTAAACCCCTAAGGCCCTTAGCCTGAGCCTGAAAGACTCCGTCAACCCTAGCCCCTGACCCCGAGCCCTAAACCGTAAACCTTGAGTGCCACTGAGGAGCCGAGTAGGGTGCCCACAGCATTCGGGACTAGGACAGTCATGTTGCTGATGAAGATAGCCTGGGCACCTGAGGATTCACGGTAGGAGCCGGAGAGATGGCCCATCATTATCCTTCAAAGGGGAAAAGGAGGGACCCTTAATGGGGACCCCTACCCTATAATGGGCTATATAATGGGTATATAATAGCTATATTAAGGGTATATACCTAGGGGTCCTTATTAAGGGTCCCTCCTTTTACCCTTGGAATCCTCATGACCGGAAGGGACCCTAAACTATGAAAGTTTAAGCTAAACCCTACACCCTAAGCTTTTGTTTCGGGGCCCCTCCTCGTCTGCACCAGCGAAAGCCTCGGATTGAGGCGAGCTCTTTCAGCATTACCACCCAGACATAGCCGCCCTTGACATACTCGGTGATATGAAAGATTTCACTGTGGTCGACGAGCCCTCGTCACGGGTCAAGAGCTTTACGACCCCGAGTAGTTTCCACGCTAGCCGGCTGTCAGGCCTCGAAAAGCCTCCGGGATTGAGTGCTCGACAAAGGGGTTATGGATCCCGTAGCAGCAGGGCTCATCTTCTCTGGTTCCCTTTCATGGTCCAACACACTGCCTTCCTTGGGACGCCGAGCAGCAACATCATCCGGATCCTTCTCAGCAGTAGGATAGAGGATCAGTGGAAACGAACACATCACTCGTGGCATGTCTGGGACTCTTACACGGAATTCACACGGAAAGTGGCGCGGATCAGATATCACAGATCGGCCGTTTCGCGCGAACTCACGTGCAAGTCGTGTGTCCTCAGCAGACACCGATTGGAGCTTGAACGGATGACAACTCTCCGAAAAAGTTGTCCGATAGTTCAGCAACAAATCGGGCCTCGGGAGATCTTTAACAAGCACAGTAACCTTACGTGGTGGTCCAAACTTGGATTCGAGGTGTTGGTGGCCGCGGAACTTTGCCGGCGAAGCAGACCAGTCGGCAATAAATGCAGCTTCCTGGTTGTCAAAATTAGGCTCCGTTTTTCGGCACCCTAAATATTAGGTGCCGCATTATAATTGGGACCCAAAAAGGGACCCTAATTTTGAGAACCACCCATATCTACACCCAGGAAGGGTGTCAAGTTCCACCGCCTGCTCAGCGTGCTGCGCTTGGGAGCAGACCTACGACCCCTGAGCCCCAATCCTCCAAACTCCTCTAAGAGATAAGATTCGTTTAGGGTTTAGGGGTTTAGGGTTTAGGGTTTAGGGGTGGGAAAAAACCCTTCTAAGAGAGCCAGGGTTAGGGTTTAGGATTAGGGTTCAGGGTTTTGTCTTTTTGCGCAGTGGCAACCACCCAAAGTCATTTCCCGTTAGGGTTTAAGGCTTACGCCCTCGGTTGCCACACCAAGCAGACAGGGCAGGGGCTAGGCAGGACCGAGAAGGACCTCAGGATTTGGGGTTTAAGCCTCAGGATGGAGCGCCCACGTAATTGGATCGGAATAGATGGTAACAGTATTTCGATTATACAAGTCTACTTCCCATCTAATGAACCCCCAAGGCCTAGTCTAATTGTTGAGGCCCCTGGATAATTCAGCATCCATCAATCAGCCTTGCACGCAATCCCCAAGCCCTGAACAACCTTGATAGCCTCTTTATGCTTCCGGCTCTAATCCTCACCCCCAGCACCTCAGGATCCTCGAATTTGGCACAGCAGCTAAACGATAAAAACCCCAAACCCTAAACCCCTAACCCCTAAACCCCTAAACCCCTAAACCCCTAACCCCTAAACCCCTACCCCTAAACCCCTAAACCCCTAACCCCTAAACCCCTAAACCCCTAAACCCCTAAACCCGTCAACCCCTAAACCCTAGCCCCCAAGCCCAAACCCCAAAGCCTAACCGACGTCGGCGTGAAGTCGGACAGGCCAGGCGACTCCACAGAACGCAGATCACCAGGGTGAGGACCGACATGGGCAGCGGCATGTACCTTGGCTGGCAACCTGACCCTGGGATCCAATTAAGGGGGATACTGCTAATGATATAAATCCTGCATTACCTTAAGGACCCTAAACTATGGGAATTATGGTATATTCCTTATTATGCAGGATCTATATCATCAGCCGTAGTGGTGATAGGTGGATAATACTTCCAGTTCTTCATATCCCTACATTACATCAGATTGCAGCCTGAACCACCCCTGTCCTTTTAGAAACAATAGACAGAGCCCTATACCTATTCCCCTTAGTAGGAATTATTTAAGAAGGTCTACTAGCCGGTCTGTTTATTCTTCTGGGGGAACCATGAAAAAGGACAAGGCTGGCCTGAACCCGCTGCCCCACATCACAGGCCCAGGGCTGGGTCGTCAAAGCCCCCGGTGCCCGAGCTGTGAAACTTCAGCGCCTAACCCTAACATAATTCTACTAGACCTTACGAACCCTTTAATCAGATTCTCATTCTTAACCCTAAACCCTGAAATAATTCTTGTCTAAATTTTCTAATTTCCTAGGATCCCTTTATTAATCACAAAATCTCAAACCATGGTGGAGCCTTGAGACCCCTCGGCCATACAAACCTGCACCTACAGGGATTCAGAGCGTTTCTTACGGTTTTGATGGTGGCTTTACTTGGGGTTCGCAAAGATCGGTAGGAGTCTATAGATTCTGGGGGGTTTGCTTTCAAGATCGGTAGGGGTTTATAGCTTCTAGGGGGTTTGTTCTTAAAGATCGGCAGGGGTTTATAGCCTCAAGGTTGGTAGGGGGTTATAGATTCTAGTGGGGGGTTGTCCTCACCTCACACCCACGTACGCTAACCTGAGCCCGTAAACAGAGCCGGGCGTCTTCACGGATTTTGTCCGGATCACCTTGCGCATCACGATCAGCGGCGACCCATAAAGCCTGAGCCCCCAGGCACTTCCCAGAGCCGCCCAGTACCGCTTAACTCAGGAATAAAGCCTAAGGCCTAGGGGTTCCTTAAAGTGCTCCCTAAAGGGATCTGTACGGGTTCTAGCAGGGAATTAAGCAATATAGCTTAAATGATAGCATGAAAGAACCCCAATATAATTCAAGCCATCTTCCTCAATGAAGGGTTCTTGGGCTCTCTGGGTCTGAATAATGAGATCGAAACGTGGTAGGGCAAAACAAGCCCTCCCTAAACCCTAAACCCCAAACCCTAGGGGTATTTGAGGCTTGCTTGCCCACGCCGGGGATGGGGAATGGCGATGCTTGGGCTCGAGGAAGAGCTGCTGTTAGTGATGGTTTAAGTCAGCTGCCCTAAACCCCTTAACCCTAAGCCTACACTCCCTCCGCACCCCGCCCCCGCAACTGGACCTAAGCATAGTTTTGGGAGTAGAGGGGGCCTCCAAGGCGCGATGACGAAAAACCTGGAACTGGGGGGGGCCTTGTGCCCAGAGGGCCTTCTGTGCCCAAAGTTCGGGTGGTGACCACGAAGATACGGCACATCTCATGGTGTAGCTGCTATTGACGATCACTGTGGTAGGCTGTATTGCTGCTACAGCTGCTGCTGCTGCTGCTGCTGCTATTGCCAGCGCTCACATTGCTCCTGCCACTTAACCCCTAAACCCCCTGCATGAAGCCACGACACCAACACGCTAAAGCCGTGAACGCCAGGTTACTTGATTCGCTTTCCCAGACCCCCGGGAGGATCTAGAAAGTAGATCCCCTAATTTAGGGCCCTATACTAGTAAGCGTACTTTATAAAGGGATCTACTTTTTGGATCCTCCCGGAGGTCTGGGTTTTCTCTTCACTGGGCATTTGCGATTCCTTTTTCCTTCAGAGTGTCGTGAGTCAAGGTCAGTCATCTGGGTCTAGTGAATGAAGGTTAAGGGTTTCGTTTTTAAGGGGTTTAGGGGTTTAGGGGTTTCGGGTTTAGGGGTTTAGGGGTTTCGGGTTTAGGGATTTAGGGGTTTCGGGTTTAGGGGTTTAGGGGTTTAGGGGTTTAGGGGTTTCGGGTTTAGGGGTTTAGGGGTTTCGGGTTTAGGGGTTTAGGGGTTTAGGGGTTTAGGGGTTTAGGGGTTTAGGGGTTTAGGGGTTTAGGGGTTTAGGGGTTTAGGGGTTTAGGGGTTTAGGGGTTAGGGGTTTAGGGGTTTAGGGGTTTAGGGGTTTAGGGGTTTAGGGGTTTAGGGGTTTAGGGGTTTAGGGGTTTGGGGGTTTAGGGGTTTAGGGTATAAAGGTTAAGGTACGAATATGCCGGCCTAATTGCGACACTAGAGCTTTACGACTTAGGCCTTGTATACATCAGCTTGGCTCTTTGATCCCGCAAGCCCAAAGTTTAGGTTTTAGGGTTTAGGTTTTAGGGTTTAGGGTTTAGGGCTTAGGGTCAAAACCGCCTCAGTAACATTAAAGCCGAAGTACTTAGAGTCATTTTACTCTCTTCTCGTTCCTGCAAGAATGCTATTCTTCTGGTAGAACATACCCGCTTATCAGCTCCAAACCTCAAGCTTCATCCTTGGAACCGAAAGCAACGCAAGAGAGTGCAAGGAGCAAAATATTGAGGACGTCCGTCACGAGCCCACTCACACGGCCTGAAGTAGTGTTTATGCTTTAGGTTTTCGGATTTGGCTGTGGAAGTGGAACGTCAGAGTGCACCCCCCGAAACCGAATGCAAACAAGTCAAGGTCATGTGACCAGCAAGATCTTTACGATGGATGTCATGCGTTGCAATAAGGGCTATGCCCCAAATCCTACCACCCGAGCCCCAAAGCCCAAACCCTAAACCAATGGTACTTGGAGGATCATGGGACTTACTTAGTAAGTAAAGTTATAAGCACCGTAATTGGTTTATAAGTAGATAAAACTATAGTACCTTACGTGTAACCCTGCTTGATAAGTCCCCTGTTCTTCCAAGCAGTGGTATCGAATCCCAAGTGCTCCTCCGATTGCCCCGAAGAACCACTTCAGGACTACCCTACACCCTAAACCCTACCTTTTCAAGTCCGAGGTAAGAGTTTAGGCAGGGCGGGATCGGGCCATGGAAAACACAAGAAACATATGACCATGACCAAAAGCTATAGCAACTTTCAGTTCAACGGCCGCAAAAAAGGATGCAAAAAACAAAACCCCAGCTATGACCGTGGGATTCTCACGAGGTATCCTACATCCTGCATCAGCACACGTCTTAGGGCTTAGGCTGTTGGGGCAGGCTTTTGGATCTACGATAGGGGGTTCCTTATTGTAGTTATAGTGTCATGGGCCCGGAAACCCTATTCTAATTACTAAGGCCCCTATACTAGGGGTCGGGATTTGCCTGTAGCATCCAAGCGGCTCTTCAACTTTCCATCACCAAACCGAGGAACAACTCCTCAGAGGCAAGTCTCATGAAGTGTTTAAGCCCACAGACTCCAATATCCCTAACTAAGGATCATTTGAATTAGGGTAGGATCCCTAAAATGATTTAAGGAGTTCCTTAAATCATATTAGGGATCCTACCATAATTCAAGGGATGTTGCTTAATTCCCTTAATGGGGACCCTTATATGGGGTTCCTCAAAGGGATCTATAAGGATTCTATACAGGGTTTAGGGTTTAGGGTGTCAAACTCGCAACCCGGAGTCCCACCACACTACGGCTGATGATATGAATCCTGCATTACCTTAATGACCCCAGACTATGGGAAATTCCTTATTACATAGTTCCCAATTTCTTATTTTGGGTAATGCAGGATTTGCATCATCATCCGTAGACCCTAAAGTCTAAGTCCGTACGGCCAAATCTCCAAGCCTCTCTTTTCAGCACATTGCTAAGCCCTCCATTGCTTCTGTGAGCTTAGGCATAGCTCTGCTCAGGTTCGAACAAAGAGTTCCGCGAACCCAGGGTTCGAACATAGAGTTCCCTGACCCTAAACCCTAAACCCTAAACCCTAAACATAGACTTCAGAGTTCCCGGTGCCTGAACCCCTAAACCCCTAAACCCCAACCCTCAAACCCTAGAGTACCCTTAGAGGGGCCCTTAAAGGACAAGGCCCAGCGTCCCTCGGGGTTAGCAGCAAGGTAACTATAGTTGTTTCTACTTATAACCTTAACTAAGGTACTTATAACCCTCCTATCTCTACTTCTAACCTTAATTAAGGTACTTATAACTTATAACCCTACTTATTTGGTCCCGTGATCCTCCAAGTAGTTCTGCTCAGGTGCCCTCGAAAGAAAGAATCAAGACGAGCTCGAAGAGGAGCAACGTGATGATAAGCCGTAGAAACTCGCGTGCACGAGACCTCAGCACGGTTTAGGATTTAGGTTAGAAGCTGCCCCCACCCTGTAATAGTGACTATAAGGATAATATAGGATTATATTAGGGCCCTAGTATATTCCTATTATACCACTATTACAGGGTGGGGGCAGCTTCTAAGGTTTAGGGTTTAAGAGCTTCATCGTCATGCTCGTCCTCTCTCGACCCTCGACCCTCAACGTAAGCGCCCTCAGTATTGACAGAGACATGAAATTTTGAATATCTCTTGGATTTCTATCGAAATAGGTCAAAACAAACGTCCTAAGAACGCAACAGTAAAACACAAAAAGACCGACCCGTCCCATCTCTGGGCCATCTCGCAAACCAAGGCACTTTGCGTGCACCATGAAGATGGACACGTAAGCCACAAACCTCTAGGGTTTAGGGTTGACGGTTTGGGGTTCAGGGTTTGTGTAGGGTGTTATTTCGCTTGAGGGTTTTTTTGTCGGTGTAGCATGAGCCCGAAGGATGCCCTCCTGAATTTCAAACTCGCAAATCAGCGCTTGAGGAGTTCAGGAGTTTAGGGCTCACTCTTGCTCTATACGACTCTCAGGTCTAATCCCAAGCCCTGAAACCCAAAACCTAAGCCCCAATAATTATCCCTAAACCCCCACCTCAAAACCTTCAACTACCATGAACAACCCATAAACCCTACGACCACCGACCTCTACCCGCCGCAGAGTATGAAGAAGTAGTTGTTGTTGTTGTTGCCGTAGTAGCCGTAGTAGCAGTAGTAGTAGTAGTAGTAGTAGTAGTAGTAGTAGTAGTAGGAGTAGGAGTAGGAGTAGGAGTAGGAGTAGGCCTGAACCCGTATAGTTTTGTTTAAGGAACCCTGAAAGGATCCCTTTAAAGGAACCCCCCGAAAACCCAAAAAAGAACCCTAAAGTCGCCGAGCTCCGAGCTGGAACAAGCCGATGCCGTTGATCTGGGCTGCGAACTACTTACAGTAAACCCCTTAAAGTTAGGGACCCTTAATGGGGACCCCTACCCTATAATGGGCTATATAATGGGTATATAATAGCTATATTAAGGATTAGAATACAGTAAACCCATTAAAGTTAGAAACCGGATTAAGGTCAAATAGTGCTGGGATTCCCTTTACATTACTCTTAAGGATAGAGGCTATGGGGGTTCCAACTTTTGGGCTTCTACTGTAGAGGATGATGGGACTCATAATTTAAGAGCTCCATAAAGGGATCTTTAGGGCTCCTTAAAGGGATCTATAGGGCTCAGGGCTCCTTAAAGGGATCTATAGGGTTTAGGGCTCCCTAAAAGGATCTATAGGGTTTAGGTTTCAGGGTCTACTTAGAGGATGATGGGACTATGGGTCCCTTTAAGGGATCTATAGGGGTACTATAAGGGTTCAGGGCTTAGGGTCTAAATAAGGGATCTTTAGGGTTCCTTAAAGGGATCTATAGGGTTTAGGGTCTACTTAGAGGATCATGGGACTTAGTAAGTAGGGTTATAAGTATCTTAATCAAGGATATAAGTAGATATAACTATAGTTACCTTGCTTGTGACTTGTGACCGTACTTACTAGGTACTAGGCACCCTTCAGAGTTTAGGGTTTAAAGGGTTTAGGAGCCCTAAACCCAAAACCCCTTTTAAGGAACCGACCCCAAAACGAAAAACCTACATTCCTACATCCTATAGGATTTGACTTTCCGAAGTCTGCGAGCTCATGGAGTTCGGGCTCATGTGGGTAGTGCTTTTTTTTTAGGGTCCCATTTTGGGTCCTTATTATAGCACGGCACCTAATATCTAGGGTACCCACAAAGGGACCATCATATTATGGCCCCTTTTTTGGGGAATCCTAGATATTAGGTGCCGTGTTAAATAAGGACCCTAAAAGGGACCATAATTTTGACAACCACCCATGCGATTGAGGATGTTCGGGACCCAGAGACTCCAATATCCCTTAATTGAGGAATATTCCTTAAATCATATTAGGGATCCTACTATAATTTAAGGAATATTCTTTAATTAAGGGATGTTGGAGTCTCTGGGGAGTAGAGCTGCAGCAAGAGACAGCCTGCTCAGCAGGGGGAGAACAAAGCGAGCTCGGGATGAACTGTTCCGTGTCTTTGGGGGTTTAGGAGTTTTGGGGCTTATCTCCTGGAGTTCGCTGCAACTCCTCGCACATCCTACCAGTATGACGCGTGGGGTCTGAAGAGTTCCGCCTGACGAAAGAGAGCCTGCAGACCTCATCGATGTCCCACACTCCCTGCTGACTGAAGTCGCTGTAAAAGCTTGGTATTGAAGCACCAAGAAGCGATTCCTAAAGGCCCTTGTTTACGGAATCATGGCATGTGCTGCATGAAGCTTAAGCCTCAACCTTAAACCCGCCCTAAACTCCCAGAGTTTGGGTCCGTCTGGGGGCCCTTCAAACTGAAGAGCCCTAAAACTCCTCCCATAACTGCCTTTTAACCTAAGTTAAGCGGTCATATTCCCGGGGATGTTGGGATTGGGTTTAAGGTCTAGGGCTTAGGGACCTAGGATACCGTACTAAGATCTACAGCATACCCCGATTCTGAAGAGCTCCTTAACACAATAGCTAGCAGGTGCTGCAGCAATGAAGCCCTCCTGTGTAAACCGTAAACCCTAACCTCTCAGCCCCACCGAACCCTAAACCACTGAAGCATTCATCATATCCATCCAAGGCCAGCTACCAGCAGGTTTGGTGTAAGATTGTCCGACGAGACCTGCATCGTGACGACGGCCTCGACTTGGCGTCAGGATTTTAGGGTACAGGATTTAGGGTGTAGGTTAAGGGCCCCCAAAAGTCTATCATGCACTGAGACAAAGATGCGAAATCAATAGTGCCCCAAGTTGCAACAAAGCCAACTTCAAGATTTCAATCTCCCCAAACCCCCATCCCTCAACTCCGAACCCTAAACCCTAAACCCTAAACCCCTAAACCCTAAACCCTAAACCCTGAACCCATACGTGAACCCTAAGCTCCAGACCCTAACTTCAAAACGCCCCACTCCAAGTCTGGGAGCATGAAACGGCAAATCTGTACTGTGGTATGACCTCTACACCCTTAAGCCCTAAAGCCCAAACCTTGTACCTTAAACTCTAAACCTCCAACCCTAAACCCTAAACCCTAAACCCCTAAACCCCTAAACCCCTAAACCTTAAACTCTAAACCTCCAACCCTAAACGGCAAGCCATCATGGAAGAAGTAGGACTGAAGGTCTCGGCTTCGGAATTTGGGGCTCCTTCTTCAAGTTACAGAACACGTGAGCACAGAACATCGGCTTCAAGGTTATGTTCCACTCTCGCTGCTGCAAAGGGATCTTGACTACTTCATGATGCTCTCTCCAGGCCCTCCACCCAGAGCCTCCAAAACCCCTTGATTAAGGAATAAATCTTAAATTATAATAGGATCCCGTATCTGATTTAAGAAATATTCCCTAATTAAGGGGTTTTGGAGGCTCTGGGCAATATCTCAATGTTGGAAATATACACCAAACATTTCAGCTCAAGTTCTCACCCTGCCCTAAACCCTAAACCCTACCTGGCTGAACCAGGCTGTCCTTATACTAGGCACCCTTATACTCCTCACCCTTGGGCCGAAAGTCCCAGTAGACCCAGAGGCTGCAGTTTACCACGCCAACCGCGTACCTCGACTTGATTGCTACAACGAAAACGGCTTAAAGGATTAGGGTTTAGGGTTTATAATTTGGGGGTTCAGAGGTTAGGGCTTATCAGTTGGGGGTTAGGGCCAGAATGTTGCCAGTAAAAGAGGGTGGTCCTGGGGGTTTTTCTAGACTGAGAAACTTGATAGATTTGACGTGGAGTTTCCGTTCGCGGCGTTTAAAGATTGACAGTGGTTCATCTCCTCAAGCTTGCGCGCGTTGCCTCGGACAACAAACGTCTTGCACCTGCAGGCAACTCATGGGCTTCCGATATCCAAATCAGACCGTAAGGGCTTAGGGCTTAGAGATTGAGAAAACAACAAACACCCAACTACTCAGGCTTCAGACATGCCGCACACCGCGCTAAGTCGTCCGCATTGCTGGCTTTAAGTTGCATAAACTTTGCATAGTGGCTTCCAAGAATGTGGACCGTCATACTGAGCACATGGGGTTTCTCAGTTTAAGCTTTCCTGCGTTCAATCCCATGAAAACAACACGTACGCCGGGGATTCACACACACACAGTATTTGGCAATGTGTGCACAATCTCATTTCCAACCACTTAAGTCTTACGTCGGGTGTAGAAGAAATTTCGCAAGCCGCCACAACGTTGAGGTCGCATGAGGCTCTTGGGTTTGTCTATATTACAAAAATCATCAATACCAAAACCTGCATGCATGTATAGACAGTGAGATGGAGAGGTAGATAGGTATGTCGAAACGTAGATAGCCAAGTAAGTATAAATCTAAGCATGCTTGTGTTCTGAACTTGGTTTTGCACTTCTACTCTTATTCATACTCATATTCAACTTATGTTGTAGCTCATGTGTTTATTATACCTATGCTGTGAAGTCGACATGGCAAACCCTTGCGGACTCAATGGTCTCTGGACCCCTCCCGCGCTACTGAGATCTAGCCCTCGTACAGCTTTGCACTCAGCCAACTGTCACAACCGATTTGCGAGGATGGAACTTCATGTCACAAAGTACCAGACTGAGTGATTACAATCGTGCATTGCATCGCCAGTCTGGGCAAACCATGCAACATAGTTGTTGTCGTGCACTTCCGTGTTATGCGTGTGGCATTGACCATGTGTAAGGAGGAACCTTTTCGATCACCACCATCATCATCGTCAATGCTACTGCGACAAGAACTGTCCTTGTGCCTGCAGTCGTCATAGTCCGTACTCAAACGACTACTGTCTTCTTCATTGGGCGTACCATCTTATTCTGGCTGTCTTTGCCGGTTCGAACACTCTCGCAGTGCTACGAAACAAATGACCCTAAACCCTAAGCCCTAAACCCTAAACCTTGTTCCCTATTGCAGATCCGTTTGTGGAACAAACCTAAACCCTAAAAGAAAAAACTTGCTCTGAAACCTGCAAGTCATCGCAAGATGGAACCTCGAAGTCTCGAGGCGACTTCACAGCTTCGGTTTAAGTTTTTTGGGTTTAGGGTTTTTTGGTTTAGGGTTTAGGTTTTAGGGTTTAGGGTTTTGGTTTTTTTGGGTTTAGGGTTTAGGTTTTAGGGTTTAGGCAGTATCCGCGATCCTACGATGGCTCGAGGCTTAGGATGTAGAGCCTCTGACAGAAGACAACCAGCGGCAGCATTGCCACAAGCTGAGACACTGTCTGTAGAGAGAGGGTCCCTAAAATTTGAACCCCGCAACCCTCAATGCGAAAACCTCCTCGGCTTCGGGAATATCGGCTTTCGGTAGTCAAGGCGCAGAGCTCAGAGCTCTTGCATTTCGGGGTAAGCGTTTGATGCAACGAAACCTCAAAACTCTACACCCGAATCCCTGAACCCTGAACCGTTTTGGCATGTTTTGGCGCTGCCTTGGCCGTGCTCCTTACGTATCGTGCGTCGTTTGTCACCTGGCTTCCTAGCTAGAGGCCCCCAACAACGGCATCCACTGAAGAGTCAAACTACTGCCAGGGCTGAAACTATCCTGTAGTGGCAATCAGTCGTCGTCGTTGTCGTCGTAGCCGGAGAGGCTTTGACGCTTCTGACTTAGGATCTAACATCCGACAGGCCTTCTTCTTGTCGCCAGCTGGAGATACACAAAAGTGATCCGAAAAGCTATGGTATTGAGAGTAGCGCAGCCGAATAAATTATAGCAACTACAGACATGGAAGCACTCTTACAAACTACAGCAAGGTCTTCTGGCTAATTCGTCCTGTCTTTCCCGTATCGGATAGCAACGTACCCACTGTCGTTCTTCGTGTCTTTTTGCTACCGGCGATACCGGCATCGCTAGCTATGCGGCCATGATATTCGCAATGGCCCGTCTGATCAGAAAGGTCACTACTCCCATAACCGCCTCTTGTAAGACAAAAGATTGGCAGCGTTGCTCTTGAGCATGCGATGGCAAATGTGAGCTGATTATTTTAAACGAAGAACCGTAACACGGGCCTTAGTGACTAGAACAGATCTTTGGCTTTTCTTGCACAACTGTATTCAGGAACCGTAAGGAACGAATGACTATTCGTTTAGGCTTCTTTCTTGCATGCTCCGAATGCCTAGAGCAGCTGGGATGCGGAAACAAAGAGAACTCCTGGACGTCCTTGCTCTTGTGGACGTTGATGCAGGTGGGAAGCGGGCTCAGGAAATACCTGCACGTCTCGGCTTCAGGGTGTAGGGTTTAAAGGTTTCGGGAACTCTAACTTGAATGACCCCCAAATCGAACAGCTAAGAGTTAGAATGGCGTTTTGGGGTATGCTTTAGACAAGCCAAAAAACCATACAAAAGGATAATATCATTGAATATTTAAACAACCCATACTACTCTGAATCGCGAGATCACACAGACAAGAGCTGTTTTACCTGCCCTAGCAGGAACACAAGACCCTAAACCCTAAACATCCCTAAACCTTACTTTAACCCTGAGTAACCTACCTTTGTAGGGTTCCTTATTGTGACTTCCCTAAATATATAAGTCCCTAAAAAGGTAGGTTGCTTGGGGTTAAGGTAGACCGTGAATCCTAAATCCTAAACCGTGGCTGCCGGGTCGCACGAAGGTCATGACCATCCTCACAGATTGCATTAGTTTATTTTTTTTGGGGGGGGAGGTTTGAAAGGCGTGGAATTTAAGCTCAGGGTCTTAAACTTCAGCGTTTTGGCCATGGAGCTTGGGGCTAAAGATCTAGAGCTCTACCAGCAAAGCCATGATAGAGGGAGCATCCCCAAACGTCACCTCACCTGCGATGCTGTCTGTGAGGGCGTGTGTCTTACCCCCAGATTCCAATATCCCTTAATTAAAGGAATATTCCTTAAATCATGTTAGGGATCCTACTATAATTTAAGGAATATTCCTTAATGAAGGGATATTGGAGTCTCTGGGTGGGTTGCACACCTTCGCGACTTAAGTCGCTGAGCCACTGTGAAGTTATTGTTGTCCTGCCTAGGGTTTAGGGTATAGGGTTTGGGTAGGCATAACCTTCCTTAGCTGCAAGGGGTGCTAGATGGGCATATCGAGAAATCGCAACTTACCGGGCCCTAAACAACCCCAAACTTCCCGAGCCCTAAACTTTTAAATCCGAAAACCACCAAACCCCCGCAGCCCCAAAACGTCCCTTAGCTGGGAACTTTCCTAAGTCCCAACCTTCCGTAAACCAGAAAAGCCTCACGAAATTCTAACCGCAGGCTAACTTCACTTAAGTGCGCTGAGAACCATACTGAAAATGAGTAGTAGTTGTTTAAACAGCTCCTTGGAGTTGTATTGAAGTAAAAGGTTGGACAGAGAAGCTCCTAAGCAATAGAGCTCAGAGCAGGCTCCCGAAACCCTACTGTAGGGGCCGATAGTTAGAAGAGGGTCTGAGGGCACATTATAATACTAGAAATATACTCAGGAAACCCCCCAAAATAGTATTGATAAAAATGTGGGCCCCTGAATTAAACCCTAAAACGAACATTTCCAGATGGGTGGGACTTGGAAGGTTCGTTTCCCAAAGCAGGGACGAGCGCTGTGTTCAGGGCTCAGGATTTAGGGCTTAGGGTTTGGAGTATTTGGGGCTCTTTTGCTCAGAGTTTAGAGCTAAGGGTTTACGGTTCAGGGCTTATTGTTTAGAGTTTCCGGTTCAGGATTCGGCATTTAGGGTTTAGGGTCTAGACTACGATTCTTCTGGCAGGCGAGGCTCCCGGCATATCCAAAAAAGGCTCCAAACTCCTCTGCGGTCGCCATGGCTCGGAAGCGGGTGGTGGTGGTGGGCCTCTTTCTGCGCTTCGGGATCGAAGTTCTTCGGTGCTGAAGGGTAAGGCTTGAGAGACTCAGAGCTTAAGTTTCCACAGCGGTGATGCGGTTTAGGGTTGAGGGTCTAGGGTTTTTGCCAAACTACCTGTCCATCTGCCTATCTGCATATATGAGGACTGCTATCGATGCAGGGATGCAGGATTGTTGAAAGCCCCGCTGTGCGGATTCAACGGTGGTCGGCGACCTTCAGCACACCTCAGCACACCTAGACCCCTAAATCCTAAACCACAAATTTCCAATCGTCAAGGCGCCGAGGGCTACGGGCATCAAGTTTGACACGAGGGGCTTTAGAGGTTCAGGGTCGAGCCCTTTGTAGTTCTTGATGTGTGATATACGCAAACCCTAAAACCTGAAAACCCCAACCCCTGAACCCTAAAAAACCCTAAAGTTGCCCTAAAGCCCCTTAAATCTTGGGGGTCCTGTCTGCCTCGAAATCCCAGTGTCTGAACTACCACGAAACGACCCAAACCCTCGAATTGTGTTTAGGTACTTAGCACTACTTCGCATGACAGAGAGGCTTCAAGAGGGAACTCCATTTGAGGGATAGTCACGCCTCTCCGAACCCCAAACTCTAAAGCCTTAAACCCCGCTTAAACCCTAATAAACCCCAAGCCCTACCTCGACTGCTGCGGAAGCTCTTTGGTGGTTTCCTTTTTTGTCAGCGGTCTGCGCCCACACGCTGCAGCCAAAGAAGCAGATCTTCAGCCAGGCCTGAGCAGTCAGACAGCCCCAGCGTCACGCAGTTCGGGGTAGGGTTTAGGGCTTAGGGCTTAGAGTTGGGGGGTGTAGGGTTTTAGGATTTGAGGTTCAGGGTTTAGGGTTTGGAGTCACCCATCAAAGACGCCTGTCTGAATGCAGGGACTAATCCCTTAAATTACAGGGCTTAAGAGTCTCTGAAAACTCGTTGCCTTCATGAGTTGCTGAGCCTTTAGCTTCCAGATTGAGGGCTTCAGCTTCGGAGATTGCAAGGCTTCCCGGCTCTGGGTTTTAGGGTTTCGGGGCTTAGGTATTAGGGTTTCGCGTCTCGGGGTTTGGGGTTGTGGGGTTTAGGGTTTGAGGGTGTCGCCCCAAACCATAAGTTCTAAACTCTGCACTAAACCATAAATCCGAAAGCATCCACTCCTAAATCTGGACTCCTGCTCGAAACTCCTAAACTCTAGACCCTAAACCCCTAAACCCTAAACCCTAAAACCCTAAACCACCTGAGCCTGGAAGTAAACCCGCAGCCAAGGCACCTTCACTTTCGCTGGACGAGGTCATTGTGCGACACCAAGCCTGCCGTTGGCGTAGGGCTTAAGGCTTAAGGGGTTAGGGTGTAGGGACTAGGGCTTAAGGGGTCAAGGTTTAGGGTTTATAGGGCTTAAGGGCTTAAGGCGTTTAGGGTTTAAGGGGTCTAGGATCTAAGGCGCGCGTTCGTTCTTGGTGCGGTGTCTGGTTTAGGGTTTAGGACTTCAAGGGCCTGGGGGTTCAGGGGTGAAGAGTCAGTGCCGGGAGCCCAGAACGAAAGTGCGAAAACCCTCCAGCGGATGCCATGGGTCGCATTTGTGGTCAAATGAGGGGGCTTCTCATTATCAGGGGCCAGTCGGGGTTTAGGGTTTAGGATTTCAGGTTTCGGGCTCAGGGCTTAGTGGCCTGTAGGTTCCTTACTAAAACACAAACAGCTGAATGAACATGACAAATGCCCAAACCCAACACAAACCCTAATAAACCCTAAACCCTAAACCCCTAAACCCTAAACCCAGAACAAACCCTCAACCCTGCCTCTGTGAAGTGGCTTCCAGACGCCGGCATCCCGTCGATGTAACCCGAGCCACCTCGGGAGAAGCGCTCGCATGGGTCCGAAAGAGCACCCAGACATAAGGATCCTCGCTTGTGGATAAAAGTCAGACGGGGATTGCACCAGAATTCTGAGAGATCTAAACCCTAAACCCCTAAATCCTAAACCTCACGTGTGCATGGTCTTTTGGGCATCTGGCTCACTTTGGGATTCGAGCCTTCGGGGGGGGATCCAAGGGTTGAAGCGTTTGGGCTTTCAAAGACCAGCGGAGAGCCTCCGGGACGCAATCGTGCGTCATCCCAAACCCTACTGGGTTTAGGGTTTAGGGTCTACCTTAAGCCGGAATAACCTACCTTTTGAGGGTTCCCTATTATGATTTCCTATATAAGTCCTTAAAAAGGTAGGTTCTTCCGGCTTAAGGTAGGGGATCATGGGGCGTAGTAAGTAAGGTTATCAAGTACCTTAGTTGGGGGTTGAAAGTGGTTATCAGTAATTATAATTGCCGCATTTATTTCCCTACTTACGAAGTCCCCGAATCCTCTAAGTACATCCCACACATTGTGGCTTAGAAGTTTGGCGGGAAGTTACAAGAGAACTCCACAAACAATCTAGATCCCAGAAACAATCTCGGTGCAAAACCCATGCAAACTCTTGGGTAAAAGTCCTCCAGTTTCTGGGAGTCTACTTCAAGATTGGAACAAACTTCGCAAGACAAAGGGGTTCAGTTCGGCGCTTCACAAGGGTTCCGACCGAGGATTTGATGAAAGCTCCCTAAGTGCTTCATGAGGGTTCTACGTGAGTTCAAAAGCATGGATTTCAGGGCTTAAGGCTTCGAGGCTAAGGGGTGCGAGGGTGTTGGAGTGTAGGATTTTCGACGTTTTGGCATAGAGCCGTTGGACATGTTTGGGCGTCAGGGTGTAAGGCGCTGAGGACTGAGGCGGTTTTAGGGTTTAGGCTTAGGGGGCTGTCAGAGTTTGAGGAACTTCGGGCTATGGTTTTTACGGTCGTTTTATGTAGGGCTAAAACTTCAGAAGGGGAGTCTTGCTAACGAAAAACACTGATTGCTTTGTCGCATGTGCGAATGCTACTCAACAGCCGGCAAGTAGAGTCTAAGTAGAGGGAGCATACCATATCGAGTGCGCATAGACTCTGCATATCATTGGATGTACACCTGTCTTCTCTAAACGGTACAGCAGGCCATCTTGGCTCCAGTTGTTCATGAGACGGCTTCCAAAAGGCACCGGGCCATCTTGGTTCGAACCTTCTGTGAGATCGCAACCCCGACAGTATCACGAGTCTGCCCAGCGACAGAAAGTGTGCAGGTGCAACCATTGTACCTGATGGTGAACTCGCGCTCTGGGTGCAATATGGGACCGGGGGCAGGGGTACTTAAAACGGTTGGAATAAAGTTTCAGGGGGTATAATGTACAATAATACGTTATAGCCGTTATCAGCGACGCTCAGAAAACATATAGGCAATATTTTACAGGCTTCTATAACACTTGAAGGCTCGAGGTTTCGGGATTACAGGCTACTCCTGAAGACCGAAAAAATACGCCGTCGCTATTCGCAAGTATGACCCAGGCTTATAGTCTTACGCTGGCTTGATGCATTGCGTCTCTACTGATTGCAAGCACCCTGCCTAAGCCCTAAACCGAAGACGAGTCCACCAATGTTGCACTTTCCCTAGACCCTAAACCCTGAACCATCAATCTCACTGCCCATCCTGCGTGCTGCCACCTGTTGCTGTTGCTGCTGCATCGAAACTCATGAGGCAAAGTGTGGTTCTTGTTTGTTGCTGCCACAAATCGCAGTCTTAATCATGTGCATGTTGGCTCCTGGAATTCTTGCGTCAACTCTGCTCTTCCCCTTTTCGGTGCTGAACCAACATCTCATCAATTCAAGGGCAAGGCTGTGACCACCAGTCGTTTTCATCAAATGCCAATCGTATTTGCGGAGACAAGGGGAAGATTTGCGTCGTGTCTTGAAATCTTGGCTTAAT